TGCCGCCTCCAGAGACTTTCCCATTCCCACTGCCTTTGGTGAATGTTCGATCCCTCTTTATGTGAAATACAAAAATATTAAAAGCGAGTGTATATATGAAACCTACCTTTCGCGTTTTTGTTCTTTTCTCTACCATTTCTTAAATATCCCTTATGAACTACTAGATTACAACACTTGTAGGGCTAGGCTTCGTACTCTGGAGGAGAAACTGTGGACCAATATCCCTTTCACCCCCACGTTGCTAAATGTATAGGCGTTCAACAATCTTTCCTTTTTAGGGATCTGCATGGACGAGTTACAAATTCCATCTTTTAGAAGGAACAGAAGTTCTCCAAGGAACAATCTTTCCTTTTTAGGGATCTGCATGGACGAGTTACAAATTCCATCTTTTAGAAGGAACAGAAGTTCTCCAAGGAACGTTCCTACTTCTTCATCCGGCCCTGCCAATGTGAATTGTACGCACTAGAATATTTAGAAAGTTTGTATTTTTAGAAATAGATCTGTGTCTTTCTAACTTTTCTTATTTCAGCAATTAATAAATTAATATTATACAACATAAAATAAAGCAAAGTAAAGAGTTAGAGATGACACCAGGATTTTTAGCGAGGAAACCCTAGTTAATAAAATACGTCAATTGTTTGCAGGAAAAACCTCATGCACTGTGCAGTCCAAAGTAAACTGATCCACTATGTTTAAAATAAAGTACACTGAACTTTGACTCTGGCTCATACCCTATCATTCTACCAAACACCAATTGCTGACAATCCTCTAGCTTTGTGACGTCCCGTTCAACAACAACTTGACCTCAATATTATGCTTGATCTTTGTAGAAGAGTAGCAAGTAGATCAAACAACACTCCTCGAATGCTTTGACCCTTTCAAAGTGTGATCGCTTTTACTTTTGTTCTTCAATATCTGAATTCAATGTAGAAGTAGGTCTGCTTTTCTCTGATCGATGTAGATGCAACTGTATGATCATGATCAGGATTTGAACAACACAACTATAAACTCACTATGTGTTTATTTGTATGTTCTAGAAAGACCGATAGATAAATCTCTTGGATTTTCTACAAAAGTAATCTTCCTAAGGCTTTTTAAGAATAATAAAGTTGTAGTACTAAAGCCATGAATAATCCTAGATGACTAACAAGGTTTATATAGAGTTTAGAATGTCCTAATCCCTCTGAAAATATGAAAAATCTCGTGCATAAGACTTGGTACAGTTCTAAACCAAATAGGAAAGAATTCTGAAACAAAAAAACTAGACTTTTCATATGTTGTAAGGACTTTTTGAACTGGTTCAGGGGCACTGAACCGATTCAAGATTGGCAGAACAATTTTTGAGCCAATCTTAAAGGCCTTGAACTATTTTAAAGATACTGAAGGTTCAAGTCTAGTAAACTTGAATTTCTGAGGCTCTAAAGGCTGAAAACACAGTTTTGGTAAGTTTGAAAAATATACCAAGTATAGAATGTGTCCTAAACTTTTTAGAATCTTTCTTAATATGTTGTTCTTACTTTTTTATCCGAATGATCTTAGTCATGGTAACTTTGAACAACTTTCCAATTCCGCAGTCGCCGTCGATCCAGATATAGTAACTTAAAATTACAACTCGACTATGACTCATTTTGTTTCCGATAATTGCCAATTACAAAATAATATCTCACAATCTCTCCATTTGGCAATTTCGTGACAAAACCCTAAAAACAATTTAGCAATCTACCCAAAGCAGAAAAGTAAATTACAATTTTGTTCAAAGGAAAAATACGGAATTTCATCTCTATTCTATTCTTTTTTCTTCTCTTCTTGGATAACTGATATGACCTGATTTTCTGCATAATATCAAGCAAAACTACTAGTGAAGTTTAATAACGAAATTATAAAAACTCCCCCATAAGTAAATATCCAAAAATCTATAATTTTCTCCTCCTGAAGATCACAGTGATCATCTCCCCCTTTTTATAACAAATTGACAAAGCATTTAATTGTAGAGTAAAGAGAAATAAGAGAGAAATAGATTTACTAGTTAAACATGTCATTAAAGTATAGAAGATAATCTCCAAAAAGTAATAACCATGTTAACAAAACAGTATGATGTCATGATGCATGAATAATAAACAAAAAATGTCAGCATCATTATCTTCCCAAACATATAGTCAAAAAACATCAACTCTAATCTTCACCACTATCCTCCTCATCATCTTCAACCTCATCCTTATCTCCATCTGAATACTCATCACCATCATCATTATCATCTCTCATAGACGGATCTGGAGGTGCATGCCTATAAACATCATCTATAGGAACCCCTGGTTGTTGTCCTCTCATCTGTCCCATTTGTAGCTTGAGATCCTGAATCTCAACCATCATCATGTCAAACATAGAAATATGTTGCTGAAGAAGATGAGAATACACGATGTTTGCATCTGCTCTAGTAAAATTTTCTTTGGGAGGAACCGAGTAATCTCTGGAGCTTGTGAAGAACCCTCATCAACACCTCTCCAAGCCTTTCTTGCATTTTCTCTAGTAGATTTAGATCGACTTATTCAGAGCACGAGGATCTAACTCAGTCATAATGGGCTGATGGTATACTCTAGGAGGAATCTGAATTTTGTTCAGCTTGTAGAATTCCATGATAATCACCGGAAAAGGAGATGAATATATATGCGAGTTCTTCTTGTAATGAGTTATCATTAGTTGCACAATGGATGGTGGAAACTGGATATGCTCATTGATAGTAAGAAAATAAAAAACCTAAGCTCGCTCAAGAGTTATCTCGTCCTTCTTTCTGAAATATCCCAGATTTGCCATGGCAAACAAATTGAAGAAAGCTGCTTCATCTATCAGAAATCTAGCTGGAATACAATCTTGATTCAGTGGAGAATTTGGTACACAAATTCTTGAAGCAATACGAGGAAAATCTGGACCTGAGACTTCCAAAGGTAGAACCTATCCCGTCATCTGATTTCTATCTACAAGATCTAGAATTGTTTGGATGGCATCTGTATCAACCATATAATCAATTCCAAATAATGATACAATAAAGTAATTCTCCTTTACTTCTTGAATATTTGCATAAAAGTAACGAACCATATCCAGAGAGTAAAAGCTTTTGCCAAGCTTGGTGAAGAAAAGCCATTTATTCTTCTCAATGTAAGTCACTAGCTTTTGTCCAGCTGTATCTCGAAGCTTTTGGAGATTAACATTCCTTTCTGTCTTGATAGGACCATCGGCAGTGACATAAGCTTGCCATCCAAGTTCATTGTAGAAGTGTGATTCTTCAAATTCAATTCTTCCAGTGCTTGAAACGGACGGATAATCAATCAGAGTGTTTCTTGAAGCATTAGAACCACTTTGAGGTTCTCGGATGACTACGGCAATTCGGGGCCTTTTGGGAGGCTTTGGTTGTGCAACACTTTGCCTTTAGCTTCCTTGGATAATTTAGGTGCCATTTGCTTCACAAAAAATTTCACTTTGAAGCCTTCAACCTCTCTTGGGAATTCTATCAAACGCTTGGTGTGCAACTCCAAAAGTGTTTATAGAAAAATTTGTTTTGATCTTCAAATTCCACAAAAATCAACAACAATTGCAAGTTTATAATCCCAAGCACAAAACAAGAAGCTTCAATGATCTTTTCCTCTCAAGAAATCAATTTCTGAACCAATCAAATCCGTGGTAAGTTTTGAATTATTTAAATCTATTGTCTGTATCAATCTGCCCTATCAACAGTGAAAGCTATGGACGAGTCCAGACCACCAACTATTCCAGTCCACACATTTGGGTTCAGCTCAGACCATGATTCTGCTACATTGCATGCAATATCTGATGCATCAGGAGGCACTTTTTCCTGTATCAAATCTATTGATACAGTTCAAGATGCCTTCGCGCGGTGCATAAGTGGTCTTCTTAGTGTGGTAACTCAGGAACTGCAGCTTATATTGAGGTTAGCATCACATGGAGTGGACATTGGATCTATACCCTCAGGAAGATACTTAAGTGAAATGTCCGCAGCATGGTGTCATAGAAATTAGAGACACATACACAAACGAGGAGAATAAAGTCTAGTCTACGTACCTCTCAGTTCCTGTAGCTTCAGCAGCTGTAGATAAGGAAAAGGTGGAAAAGACATCGCTATTGGAAGTAATGTGTTCCTACAAAGATACCATGCCAAAGGAGATGGTACAAATAGTTCTTCCTGAGAGAGTGGAGGTACGGCGACCTGAGGTTTTACCTCCTCCACACATGATAGTGACCTTGGAGATTGATCGGCAAAAGAATCATCACCTTTGGGTGGCAGAAGGTATTGCTGAGGTACAAGAATTGACTGAGATGGGAAATCTAGAGGGTGCACAGGTTGTGCTTACAGATGAAAGATCAACGCTGCTAGCTTCTGCATCTACCCAAGCATGGGATGGTCTCTGCAACTGGCTTGAAGCTGAGTTGATATAAATGAGTTTCTTGTTACATTGTACACTATGTTATTCCAATATAATTTTGGTGATGATGCGTGGTTGTGTCCAATATTTGAATTAAGGAGACAATGGCCAAAGGCATACATAGAAAGGCATGGTTTGGAAGCGTGAGAAATACCCAAGTAAGTTATTTGCCACATTTGTCAAGCATTTTGAGCAAGTACTCAATGACAAGCGCTATAAGGAGTTGGAAGCTGAATATGCACTTAATATATATATTTTCACTAAAGCAAAATATTTGCACTAAATTGTGTGTGTATGCATTGTTGTTTAAATACTTGAGCCTGAGTCCCTCTACCACCTCAAAAAGGCCCTAGACCTCGTGGAGGCATACACAAAGTAGGCATCAATCATGACAAGTTGATATTATGATTTTGAACTTCCAAAAGAAGTCAATCAGCCTGATTAATTAGAATTAAATTCACTTTGAACATGATCTACAAAGCCCCACAACCCTTAGTCCCTACCAACATTACCTGATTTAGGTCCATCAATCCACTTGAACTCAAGAACCATGCAGCCGCATAATGCAAAACAACTCAACCAACACTAGCATAGTTCAAAGTAATGTGTTTGATTCGATTATACAAATTTAGAGAAGAAAATGAACTACTTATGGAGGTAATAAAAGGTTTAATTTATTACTACAGAGTTATGTAAGTTCTGACTGTGGATAGCAAAAAAGTTCATACATACATTACAAAATTAAACATGTTACTACCAGCCCACATCAAATTGATTGGTAGCCCTCCTCTCGTTCACTCTTTCTTCGAAAAGCAACAACAGCAGCTACAGCTATTGCCATTCCAAAAAATGCTATACCCCAAACAGAACGAGGTAATGTCATCTTTTCATGCTCCTGCAAGAACCAAGCAACATCAGAGGCTAGGGTAAGTTGCCTGAAAATTAGATAAGCTTCCTGTTTGATAAGATACTACTAAGTGCTAAATAAATTCACAGAATTCCCATCCCTCAGATGAACTGATACATTTGTTCGATATTATTCAGATTGCATTTCTTACCATTCATAATGATTTATCTTTTTTTATATTTTTTTTGGTTCCAGGTGTATATATATATATATATATATTTCATGTTTTCGATATATCCATTCTTATACTTCCAAATCTATCCAAATGTTATGCTTGTGAACCCTTCAAAGTTCAATCATTATCATCTCTTCAGTTTCTAGAAAAGAGTTCTTTTTACCCAAGATTCATCAATGCATTTGCAAGATGGTTCAAATATCATTGTGACCAACTAAAATTATAATTATAAATGAAGGCTAAATGAAAATCTTACTTCAACCGGAGCAGGCAGGAAAGATTTGGGCTGTGGTACTGTGTCTGCAACCAAAATGTAGAAGAGCCCCATAACTCCTGTATGCCTTTTGGCACTGCTATAATTTGATTCCAGAACTAGAGTCTCCCCGTCAGATATCTTGACAGAGCCGGGTTGAGGATAACAAGTGGACATTCCTACAATATAACCAGCCTCATTTCCTGCTTCCTTTCCTTCTCCATAAGTCGGTATTGAATGGCATATTACCCGTCCATCCTAACTCAATAGTAGTCAATGTTCAATACAATTAATTACATGCTTTAGAAAGAACTACTTTAATTAGAGGTATGGGTATTGAGATGAGAGATATATGTTAAATCTATCTTCGGTAGCATGGAATTGGCGCCTCGGAATTGGAATTGGAGAAACAAATGACTAAGATAGCAGTTGAGAATGCTAAGTCCGGTAATATGTTACCACCAATCTAGCTGATAAGAGTAAGAAGACATGGGAAACAAACTGGAAAATAAGGAGTTAGAAAATCACCTCCCCATAAAGAGTCGAACCAATTCCCCCTGTATGCTGGTGTGCAACACTGTAGATGACATTACCACCAGTTGGCATAGAAAGGCTTACCCTTTTGGTGTCAATGCAACCATCATTAGCCTCATCAGTGGCAGTGCAAGCATCAACTTCATATTCCACCTATATTAAGCAAGTTCAATCGAATCATTGTCCAAAAAGATAATTAAGTTAGTTTTAAAAAATGAAGAAACAAACAAATTATATCATTCTGGCAACTACAAGTTAAAAATTAATGTTTCTCTTTGTTTTCTGAAAATAATGATAAATGGAGTTATCTCCCAATTTTTTTCTTGCAAAACTAATATAACATCTATCGTCACAGCTTTACAATCAACATAATCTCCATGCAAGCAATCAAAACCTTACTATGTAAAATCTACCCTCAGGTTAAAATTCTACCTTTAAAACTTATGTGGCGCATCTAAACTATTGTACTTGCACTTACAATAAAGGGGATTCGGGGCATGTAAATCTGCTCTGATACGGGACGATCTTTTAGTCTTGTAATTTCAAAACTAATATCAGCATAATTTTAGAAGCCTTTCTATTGATTTATAGATCAATATACTAAAACTACTTGCATCTATCTATAATTTAGACCAAATTAATGACTTCACGCCATAGAAGAAAAGTTCACTCACCTGGCATTGATGAATTATAACTCCGTCATCTAGCTTCTTCCATATCTCAGTTACATCAAATATATATATTTTAACAGGCACGATGAAATTATTCCAGTCAACCCACTTCACTGTATATCTCATGTATAGACCTCTCTTGGGACTCTCAAAGCCTTCTCTCACCCTGCATTGTGTCTGATCATAGCAACATCTCAAGCCTCCTATATAACCTGGCTTCAAAGGTCTACCATTTTCATCCTCTGTAACATTATAAAGATCACACCTACATTCGGTGCATCCCAACCTATCTTCCACACCCCGCGTATCAATTGCATGGACATTCATCAACCATTTCTCCTCATATCCATCAGGAATTTCGGCCGGATTACCAGCTTCTATTCCATAGGGATCTGGCACATGTGTGTCTGTTCTTCGTGTTTCAGATCCAAGGCCAAAATACTGGCCAAGGCCCTGATCACATACACCAGTGTTTTTCACTAAAATTATGTCAGATTGATTGAACGACTTGAACCCCAGACTGTCATTGTACTTTGGAATTTCTACACTTTTACGCTGATGGTATCCCATAACAACCCAATGGTGGAGATAAGTTTCGTGAAGGGGAATGGGATTTCCTGCCTCATCAACTACTTCAGCATTGAAACTCTTGATGGCAATATGACCTCTTGGAAAGTCAATGTCATGGTAGTACTTGTTTACCACTGATCCTGGTTCCATTACAAACTTCGGAGATAGAAAGACAGAAGATTTTACCCCATTTTCAATAGTTATACGAGATTGTGAAGTTTGAACACTTAAGCCCAATAGGAGAATTAGTAAGGAAAGCAACCAACCTCCAGAACAATGTGCCATAATTTCTGTGGATGTCAAAAATCCCTGGTTAGACAACAAAATTGCTTAAACACAAGTATAGCTCTAACGGAGAAGAAGACCAAATAAATAATTGTATAGAAATTTTCTTTCATAATGTCAATATAAATCAAATTCTAAAAATGTAGGACAAGGACACAGGCTTAGTCGCGTACATGGCTAATATAAATATAAAATTTCATTTATAGATATATATATATATATATACATTGATTAAAACAAGGGTAAAGTGCAAAAAGAAAAAAACCTCTTATATACGTAATGTGCTAAAAAAACCCAGGTGTTCAAAGAAAACCTCTAAAATTTTCAAATTGAGCAAATAAGGACATTTTCTCAATTTGAAGACTGAAATACCTAATATGCCCTTATAGCATAATAATTAAAAAAAAAAAAAAAAAAAACACACACACACACACTTAAATGCACAAATTTTCTTAAAGTTCTTTTAGGGTTTTTTAAAAATAAATTTGGTCAAAATTAACGATCAGGTGGCAATTTACTACAAGTTTTCAAATTATAGGGATTTATATGCACATACTAAATAGCAGAGGTGTTTCAGCACATTTTTTATATAGCGGGGGGTTTTTTTCGCACTTTACCCTTAAAACAATTATAGAACTTTAATTTTTGAATAATTTTTATATTAAAGTTACATAAGTTAGAAGATGAAGCTATTGGAATATAAAAAATAATATGATATATTATATATGATATTCCTCTCCTATCTTGTTATTATAGTTATGTTTTTGTTCATTAAATATTGTGACATGTGCTTAATGTCCATTTTTTAAGGAAAAAAGGTTGGATACTTTGATGTATGTTAATAATGTTTTCAGGATTGTCATGTGTTTGTTTATATAAGACGAAGTGTGTAAAATGTGTTGATCAAGTGTTGGGATGTGTTGGTTAAGTTTTTGAGATGTGTCAGCCAAGTATCTAAGATGTGTCAGCCAAGTGTTTGAAATAATAAATATTATTTTTAAATATGGTTACGGCCATAAGTGTCAGACAAATGTCTGTGGGAGGGTTGGTATACGACACGGTCACGGCACCTTCATAGAAAAGTCCATACTTCTTAGAAGATGGCAAAATCTTGGGCCGGAAAGGGTGATAACCCTATGAGAGCAGCCACTTTGCACAAAAAGTGCCAAAGATAACACCCTTGGTAGGACAACAATGATATGGCAAAAACAAAAACAAAAAACTTATTTCCTCACAAACCAAGCAAAACAAAAAACTTATTTCCTCACAAACCAAGCAAATCTACAGGGGATGGCTAAGACCTATGACCAAACCAAAAATAGAAAAACAGAAAGGGAGATCCTTAAAGATTCTAATACTAAGTTAAATGAAGAGACTATCATAAACCTGGAGGAGACTTCCAACTAACAAGACCATTAACAAACAGCTAAAAGTTAGACATACAGATAACTCAACCTTTTCAAAGAAATTTTATAACAAAGCATATCCATTTCTACTTCTCTAATTCAAGAATTCAAATGTAAAGCAAGGACAGTCATTCTGGGGCTTAAGGAATGTTCACAAAAAGAAAACACAGACAAATTGAAATAATTATATTGCATCACACATTTATAGCTTGAACTGGGTAAAATAATATGTGTTTTCTTTTTCATTGAATTTAATGATTAAAACAGGAATTATTTAAAACAAAAAAAAAAAAAAAACAAAAACAAAAAGCAAGAAAGAAAACAAGAGCATACCATGAAATAGATGAAACCCAAGAGTGTGATGATTCAGAGTAGTTCGGAAGTCCTTGCAAATCCAAAATAAAAGGGTCAGAAACCAAGTGACTGTGTTACGATATAACTACAAACAGATGGTATATAAAGTGCCGGAAATTTGACTCAGTCGAAAACGATAAATGGGTGAGATAATTTTTAATGGGAAAAATGAAATCACCAATGGCGATATATGAATTGAATGGAATTTAAAAAGAAGACTATATATACAAGGAAATTTCCAAAAAATAATAATGATAATAGGCTATGGAAGAGATGGAGGTAAGCCATGACGTATAGCTCGGATTTTACAAGGAAGCTAAGGAGTGCAGACAAATATGTCACATCCGCTTTTGTATCATTGACTTAATGTTAACTTTGTGGACAAGTATTGTGATTCAAAATTAGAGAAAATGAAATTTATCTATCTCAAAAAGTAAAAGATAGTTTTGCCCTTACTAAAAGCAGTTAGTTTCAAATAATGTCTAACTTAAGTTGTTGACGGCAAAAAAAAATAATAATAATAATAATAATCTCACCAACCAATAGAATGGGGACAACACATCGAATAATGTGAGATGAAATTATAAAAGAGTCCTTAATTAAAATAAAAATAAAAATAAAAAATATATATTTACACTTTACAATATAAAGCAGATTCATATACTTATTCTTATATATAGAGTGGTGACCTCTTGTTTTCTGTGGAGTAAGAAAATTCTTCCGCACTTTTTATAAAAAATTATAAGTGTTAGAGAATTGCATCCATGGCTTGATATTAAAGTTGACATTGCGTATTTGTTTGAGTTTGAAAAAGAAATTAAAAATTACACTATTGACCTACAAAACATCAACTAAAAAAATAATTAAAAAAATTAAAAATAAAATCTGTATTTTTTATCCACTTGATTAACTTAAGGTAACTTGTGATTTGCACAACACTTCACAATTTAAATTATTGTATACCTCCCTAAATGCATGCTATTTAAAAATTAGAAATTCAATCTATTGTTCTCAACCCCCTTTGTCACAAATTATTTCATCTTTGTTGTTAATTTTGTTTTATTTTATTCCAGATTTTAATTAGTTGTAAACACATTCCAATTACTCATATGTCATAATAAATCATACAAATCTTTTTTCTAGTTCTACTATAATAACAAAAATTTATTGATATAATGGGGAGATTAATTAACGACAAAAATTATATTATTCTATGAAATTTCATATTTTCGTTGTAAATTAGTTGTTTTTCTTTAATACTACAATTATTATCATCAAAATTTTTTTTTTTTCACTGTCATCAATTTTTTTTGGTAAATAAAAAAAGTATGAAAAACTGCTAATATGTAAAGTAACGACAAAGACATCAAAGAAAATAAAAATTTCAATTAGTGGTGGTGAGACGTTCCAGAGGCGAAGCGATTTATATTTTTATTTGTTTGATACTTACCTTTTATAGTCGTAATTAGTGGTATTGGTAAAATTTAAATTTAGAAACTGTAAATAATGATAGTAATTTTACATTAAAAGAAAAGTATATAGGTAGGTTAGAATTTGACCATTAGATTTAATCTAATGGTCACTACAAAATGTGCAGAAGAATTTTCTTACTCCATAAGGAGCAAGAGATCACTACTCCTTACACACACACACACATACACTTTTACAATAAAAACAATTTTCTTACTCCATAGGGAGCAAGAGATCACTACTCCTCATATATATACACACACACACACACACACACAAAAACACACTTTACAATAGAAAGCATAATTCTTGCTCGCCGGAGATGTGGTGCAACGAAGCGTGGCGTGGTGTGGCTGAGGCCAGGGGCGGAACTCTATGTGAACTAATCTTGGGCTATAGCCCATATATACACACACACACACACACTTTACAATAGAAAAGCATAATTCTTGCTCGTCGGATACGTGGTGCAACGAGGCGTGGTGTGGCTGAGGCCAGGGGCGGAACTCTATGTGAACTAATCTTGGGCTATAGCCCACACACACACACACACACACACACACACACACACTTTACAATAGAAAAGCATAATTCTTGCTCGTCGGATACGTGGTGCAACGAGGCATGGCTAAGGCCAGAGGCGGAACTTTCTGTGGTTAATCTGGGCTATAGTCCAGATCCAAAAAAAATAAAAAATTAGTACTACTATTTCTTATCAATCATAATCCAGCCCAAGTTACCCAATCCAAAATAAAATATAAATGATAAATAGAATCCAAGCCAAAATTTGATCTCAATCAAGGCCAAACCCATTAGGCTGACGAACCATTACAAACCAACACATGGACAAATTACGTCCATTCATTTCAGTTGAAACAAAGACACTTTAGGAACCCTAGAATATTGATGTCTACTACAACCACGTCTGGTGAGAAAATGAGGTGCAACGGCTAGTGGTGTGGGTACAAAAGGACAAGTGTGGGCAACGGCTCCCACTGAACTTTTAATTTTTTTTAATTTTATATGAATTTTTTTATATATATTTCTATAATTGTACCTCTAAAATTTGACAGTACACATATATATATACTGTGTATATATAACCAAAAGCAAGCCCATTCACGGTTTTACACACAAAAAAAGACAAAATAAAAGAATATAATCATGATACAAATGTAAATATATATAATATATCTATCAATTTATCACTTTCCCACAAAATATGATATTTTTTTTTTTAACTTTCTCAAAATATTATATTCTTTCTCACTTTTTCAGTATATATATATATATATATATATATATATATATATATATATATATTTCATCAAGATATTCTTTCACACTTTTGACTTTATCACAAACAGATAGATTGTTTCCATCACATTTTTAGTCTTTAATATTTTTCTTTTTGCGAGTCTTCAACATTTCACAAATTTACAATCCAAACAAAGCAAGCGGAGTAACCATTTACCCGTAGACAGAGACTCAGTGACCAGTAATATGATATATATATATATATATATATATATATATTATCAACTAAATTTTTGATTATTATTTGATATTATAATTTTAATTAGAAAAACGATTAGTTTTTACTATCAAAATTATTTTAGGGCTTGTTGTTCTTTCAAATTTTAGTTGGTGCAATTGTGTTATTAATTATTATTCTCTAAATAAGACTTAGATATTTTTATTTTTTATTTTTTATTTTATTATTTGCATCCCAAATCAATGAAATGACAAATTCATTTATTCTATCAAATTTTTCGATTGATTGGATTATCTGATTGATTATCTGTTATAACTTATAAAGTTAGTTATTTTCATATCGTGCCTTCTATTTTATTTTTTTGATTTTTAATATAAATGAATTTTTATTATGAGTATATTGACTGACATAGCAATTATTAAAAATGTTTGTTACCATATAATTTTTTTTTTGTAATGAAATTGGTTATCTGGAATTTTATTTTATTTATTATTTTTTTTTTTTACCTATGTGATATTTTAGAACAATTACTGTACAGAAGAAAATTCCTAGCTTTTGGCAGCGGCGCCTTTGACGATCAATCCGAAGGCTCCGGTGGAGGGCGGATGAATTGAGGGAGCTCCCAGTCCAATTGCAACCTTCTGACCTGAGCAGAGTCCTTCACTTGTCTTTGCGAGTAATCGTTGTCGAACCATATTCAGATCCTAATTTCCTACAAAAACGGTAAGTTTTTTTTTATTTTATTTTTTATGATTGAATCTTCTTCTGTTTCCTAATCTTTATCAATTTCCTGTATTATAGAAAATTTTGATGTCTTGGATATAATTCAACTATACCCACCTTATGTTTGATCGGAGTCCTTATTGAGTTCTGCCTAATTCTCTGGACAATATACCTTTTTTGCTTTCTTCATTGTGTGTTTAATGCAATAATTTTTGCCCCCCCGGCCCCCCCGGCCCCACCCCCCCCCCCCCCCCCCCCCGGCGGCGGCTGAGGCTCCAAATTTTTGTTTTCAACCATCACCACCGGTATACATAGATACATATATGTATGTATCATATATATAGACACCTTAAAAGAGAGAGAAAGAGGCTGATGTACCGCATAATTCTTGGTCGCCGAATCTGTACTGCGATAAGGTGTGGCAATAGCGTCACCAAGGAAGATCTCAAAAAATATTTGGATTTGATTCGCCGAAAGGTTGTCAAATACTTTACCCCATAACCACACCAAACCTACAAACCCACTGTGACCACCGCACAACCACACCCAAACCTACACATTAGCAAACCCAATTAAACCACAAAACCCACGCTACCACATCACCGCTACACAACCTTCTCTCCATTGTTTGAAACTCAAACAATTCAGGCTAAATCACACACCTAAAACCCAATCGAACCCAAACTCAATTCCACTGCCCGTCACCGCTAACATTACCCTGGAGTGTCTAAGCCTTTATGTTCGTGAGATTCTTCATTGTAGTTTCTTATTTTTCATTTTAAATGCTGGTCTATCATCATTATTGAGGAGAAGACCGTGTTCGCCCGCTCTGATTTCCCATATATTGCTCCCTTCCTCAACCCACCACTACATCTTCCCGTGGCGTTGTTTCCCGATCGGAGATCCATGGATAAGGATGCTATGTGAGTGTTTGGGTGTAAGGTTAGGTAGTGTTTGGGTGTGTGTCTGGTTAATAAGGTGTTTGGGTCTATGGCTATAAAAGATCATTGTTGGGGTATTGTAGTCCTTTAATTTTAAAAGGGACGATATGGCTTACATCCTTTGAGGTTAGGCTTAATTATAATTAGTACACCTAACGTTTCAAAAATTATAAAAATTTTCTTTAAAGTTTGTTCCGCCATAACACTTTTCTCCTCCCAGTGTAAGTTAATGTCAGTCAATGACCATTTTTAGATGACGTCAACCATTTTAAAAGTAAAATACTATATTTTTCCTAAAAAAGATTACAAAGACATGTTTATCCTTTTTTTTAAATTAAAATTACTTATATACCCTTAATAAAAATAGAAAAAAAAAAGGAAAAAAAAAAATAGGTGGTGTTTCTTCTTCCCCAAATATATATATATATATATATATATATATATATATATGCAGATGGCCTTATCTTAACCTAACCTCCTACCCCACCCCATCAACACCACTTTTCAACCTCCTACCCCCATCAACACCAACCAATTGCTAACCTAAAACCCTAAATTAAAACCAACATCACCCAATAAAACCCACTCGTTGACGCGGTGATGGTGGATGAGGTGGTTGGACGACG